ACTTTACTTCTTTCTTCTGGGCCCATCTCTTAAAGGTTCTACCATTCCCAAGGACACTATCAGCTGGGGAACAAACCTTCAACATGTGAGATTGGGGGGACATTTATGATACAAACCATAAAAACATATATTTTTATCTTCATATTGCTCAGCATAGCTGGATATGTCAAAAATAGCTGTTCCATAGGTATTTCACACACTTCCACAGCTATGCTTAACATCATAGAATCAGGAGAGTGCATAATTGTTGAAAAGTTTTAAGTGGAACAAACTGTTATTTTTAAATTATGAGTAAAATGTTGCTTTGTTTTGATTTTATTTTAATGCCTAGGGAAAAGAGATGTCATTTTACTTCTATACTGTTCTACATTTTAGAAAATATTATTTCTCAGAAATATATTTTGGTGTATTTAAAAATACATAATGAAATATATTAGACAACCATATTTATAATCATAAAATATCAAAACCCAATGTATCTGTTGCTTAATAAATATAAAAAACATTGTAATACTATAATTTATATGTGTTGCTTAGCTCTAAACTTTCACTAGATGGCAGACTTAGCTAATGCATTTGATTTCCCAGTTTAAAATGGTGTAAGATTAGTATAAGCACAAATGGTATAAGATTATTTATGAAGACCAGAAATGTCAGGGATATCACACAAATTTGGTTTTCCTACCTAATTTCAACTGTAGAAGTTATTTACATAAAATAGCTGATTCATATAATTTTACTTTTCATTCTCTTATTAAAACTCCAAATATATATGACTATATATGTATATTTCAAATTTATATGTATTAGAATTAAAATATAAATATAAACAAAATAATTCAGGCAATCACAAATTTATTCAGCATTAGAATGATGTTGCCTATAGGAAAGATATACTTACCATACTTTTAAGGAAAACAAAAATGTTTGAAAAGAAAAATAAACTGTCATTAATTTGCAGTTATGTTTGCTTGATAAATTTCTTCTCTGGTCTTATGTCTCCTTAACATTCTAGATGTTTCTCATGAGCTTTCCATTCACTATCACTTAATATTACTTCATCTATGAGCATTCTTTCAGCCACAGTTTATCACAAATGGAAAAATATTTAGTTTTATTCTTAATGAATTTCCAGTTTCTTCTATTAGTTCACAGAGTGTTTTAAGGACAAAAATCTTACTGTACATATCTTTTTATTGCTTGAATAAAATTTATAATAGCAAATTTTGATAATTTTTACTAAATTAGATTTTAAGGATTGTTCTCAATAATACAAATACCAGTGATGATGTTATGACCTACCAACCATTGTTTAAGGGTAGTTAGGATAATAGAATATATATATTTTACAACAGAGTTGAGTTTTTAGTGTATGAACCCTTGACACTGTGTTAAATACTCTTAATGATTCGTTATTTCGTTGGGATTATTTGAGGTTCCTGTTCGGTGGTCTGCTTGCCTCTTCATTGTTATAGTAATAAAAGCCTTCTGACATTTCAGACCTGAGATATGGGTCATGCTCTGCCACTGCCAGCCATACTTCCTTGAATACATTACTTCCTCTGTTTTTGCCTCAATTGCCCCATCTGTAAATTAATAATTATACCTAAATCATAGGGTAGCTTTCTGCAACTTAAAGACATAATGATTTTCAAAACAAGTAGAAAACTATCCAGACCAGAAGGAATCAAATGAGTAGAAATCAAAATATCCGGCAAGAGGATGTGACTTTGGAGGGTGACAAGAGGGTACTTTTAAGATCTACATTCAAGCACTGTGTTCAGGAGCCATGTGGACAATTACCAGACTTCTGTGTCCTGGTGAGCTCATGACCTGGTATAGATCAGCTGAAGCCTAAAGATATGATAAAGATGGAGTAACGGTTGAGCCATGTACGTACCTGTGTCTTCTCCATGGGACAGAGGTACAGATGGAAACAGGACATCAGGAGATTTGTGCCTGATGTTGTGAAGATGACATGAGTTATACAAGGACAATGTTTAGAATATTGCTTTGTGCATTTCACGTATATTTTTTGAAGGGAGGGGTACCAGGAATTGCACTCAGGACCTCAGGCTTGCCAGACAGGCATTGTGCCTCTGAGCTATATCCCCATCCCCTTTTTACATATAATTTAATGAACTTTTTGTAAATTTCCAAAAGATAGAAAAGGGGAAAGGCAAATAGAAGAAACGTGAATCCATTAGTATTCCTTTTCAGAGTTTAAAGGATATAGCAAAATGAAGGTAGGAGACTGTGTTTCCCGATCCATTTTTATACTCTTGCTCATTCTTTTTAGTTTCTATTGTCATAGATGATTGAGTATTGTTTGTGACATTATGGTATGGTAAATATCATTAGTGATATTTCTCGTCTTAAAATATTTTTAAAATAAATATTCTAGAAACTCCACATGGTATTAGCTTTGGCATTGCTGACCAATTGTCAAGTGACTTTTTTTTTCCATCCAGCCACTAAAATTTTTAAGAGTTTCTGAAAAAATAACCTCAAACTTGAATTTATGGAATTTCCTATCAATGTTGACTTTTGAAAGAAAACAATGCTGAAAGCATGTCATGTGGAACATATACCATAGAGTGTTTCTCCACATACGGATCCAACTAAAATGCAAAATGCTCTTCATCAAGATTTTTCTGTACTAAATCACGTGTTCCCCAATGTGCAAACAAGTATCGATAAATCGTTGATTTTTAAAAGATTCATTAATTAGACACACATGCCATGCACTGAGAGGGGACTTGACCCTGGTAGGTGTCTGTCACTACTTACTAAGAGAGCTCAGGAATGGATAAAATCCACAAGAGTACAGGTTAAGAAGTAGTGCAGGAAGTGACATATATCAAACACCAAAGGGCCACAGTGGAGAGAAGGATTTTGACTTGATTTGTAAAAGATTTAAAATTTTTATCTTGATTGGATTTGAGAAAAAATTTAAATAATGACTGCAATTTCAGACTGCAGAGATTGAAGAGGAAAGTAAACGGGAATAGAATGCATTTTTGTAAGATGAACGGAAAGAAGTGGCGAAAACAGACACCACCACAACCAGCAGTCCCCACTGTGTGTCTCTGTGGTATTACATGTTTCACACCCACGTCTCCAAGTTTCATGACAACCTTCCTTTAAAGGATTAAATATTTATGGTTTCCTTAAACAATTCAAAGTCACAGAATTATTGACAATAATGACTACTTGCACAAAGTTACTGTACTTTCAAAATTAAACATCAGCAAAAATTATATTCTGATTGTTGTTTTGCTGATATTCTAGTTGCCCTTCTTACAATTTAGGTAGACCAAGAAATATACTAGCATTTACTTAAAATCAGGATTAACCACTTAATACTGGTTTTCTTTCTTTTTTTTTCTGTCATTCCTCCTTTCTTTCGTAAAGAACATACTTCATCAAACACCTGATGAGATCATAGTTCTCAAGAGCTTTGATTAGGTAAAGCTCCAGTGTCCGTTAATTTAGATATCCAAGAGAGCATAAGGGCTTCCCTAAAACCTTGAAAAGAGTTCTTTTGAGTGCCTTAGCTGGAATGATGACCAAAGAGCAATGGAAACAGCCCTGAAAGGCAGGTAATCAGGGAAGGCTGGGCCACATGCTGGGGACAGACTCCTCCAGGCTGCTCCTGTGCAGCAGCCCCTCTCTTCCTGGCAGGAGGGAGCTATCCTAGCAGCTCATCCACCAGCATGAGGGAATTAGCCCTGAGGAGACCTAAAAACTCATCTGTAGCACTGAGGCTCAGAGACAGGGCTCTCCGGGATGGTTGGAGTCAGAAGGGAGGGAAGAGAAAGGGGGTGGAAAAAGGAATGAAGGTGTGCCGTGTACAGGTATGGACTCCACACAAGGAATGTAAACATTATGTAGTACACACAGGTACTAATGAATTTAAAAAAATAAGAATGAAGAAGAAGCACATTCCTTTAAAAGACACTAAAGCAAGGATCTGGCAGTCAGGGTACCCTCACTGTTGGAACTACCATAAAATGAGTGCAGCACAGGTTGATATGTTTTTGAGTCACACATGAGTTCATATTTTTCACGCTTTCTGTCAGTGTTAATACCTCACTTCCAGGAGTGAGTTCAACCTAGTGAAGATAGTTAAGTGGCTATAATTTAGCTTCACATTTTTTAAAGATATATTCTATGGGAACTAAACCCAGTATCCCCAGAAGTGGCTGCTGCACAAAATGTGAGCCATGAAATCTATCAGTGACACATAGGTAGGAGGGAAAGCTCAGATCATCAATAGCAGCAAAAATAGAAAGATATTATTGATATTGTTTTGCCCCTTTCCGGGGGTGAAACAAGTTTTGTGCATGGCTGTATGTATGCACATATGTGCATGTGTTTGGAGAGAAAGCCAAGTGGGAGGAAAATTAGTGAGATGAGGTGAAATTTTTCAGGATCTTTTCATAACACTACTATTAAGGCTTTCACCTTACTACCAACTTACAATGAAATTTTGTTAAAACCTAAAATAGTTCCTCTTCTCCAAGGTTCACTGCATCAAGATTTGATATTTAAGAGTTTTGCACTGTAAGAATAGGGGGATAGCAAGAGCTCACATCATGGAAGAGAACTTATCATTTGTGATGTTTTTATGAGTCAACATACTTGTCTTACAAATTTTTGCTTTAATATTACTTAGAGTGATCTTGTACTGTCTTAAATCAGCTTTAGGAGTTTTTCTTTTATGCTAGCCCATAATTATATGAGAAAATGTCTACTAAAAGACAATTACTGAACTTGTTTCTCTTCTTGAGCTAAAATGTTGGTTAAAATATTCTTTGGAAGATGGTGTTTCATTTTTCTTGTGTTGTACAGAACATTTTATCTGGCTCTGCCTGCTATTGAAATTGGATACATTTTGAAGCCTAAGGCTAGCAATCACTCACTCATAAATATGTTGTTATAAAAAGTACCATATTGGACTGTTAGCGTAATGCAATTTTTTTTTTCTTGCAATGTAGGTTGTTCTCGAGTCTCAGCATTATCACAGAGCTTACTCACCCAGCAAACATGAGATTCATGCAGTTCAGAGCCAAAGACTGTTATTCTCTTGCTCTTTCAAAACTGGAAAAGGTAAGACTCACATTAAGAAAAGTTGATTTAACCATTTTTGTTCAAATAACTCTGGAAATATCTACACGTAGAAAGAAATTCAGTAGGTAGGAAAACTAAAGACATATTTCATTTCTTATTTGGGGGCTAAAATCCTAATTTATAATTTTTTAAAACAATGGATTCATAAATTTTAGCCATTTATATTAAAGTGAATATAGTAGAGATAATTTAGTCTATCTTTTAGAAGTTTCTAATATAATTTATCAAAGTATTAAGTTTAGGGCTGGGGATGTAGCTCAGTGGTACAGTGCCTGTCTGGCAAGGGCAAGCCCTGAATTCGATTCCCAGTACCAAAAAAGAAAATAGTATAAAAAAGATTTTTAAAAAGCCCCTTAAAATAATTAAGTTCAACAGAAATGTGTACTTACAATGTCAGTTTTATTGGTAATATGACCAGTGATTTGCTATATCATGAGAACTATATATATATATGGATTTCAGTTTCCAAAAATGTTTACTGCCTTAGAAAAGTATTTATTATGCAGAAATGTTTATTATCTGTTGAAAGCTGGTTTAGAAAATGTCACCCTTGAAGTCTGAGACAAAATCAAATTTATTCCTTACCTAGGTAAGGGGTTCTGCCACCTCCAGAAATCTTTGGCAGTACTTGAGATGGAGAACAACATCAAAATGCATTGAGAATTGGAGAGTAGATTTCACAGGGGTATTTCAAAGCAGGGGTTTAATCGGTGTGGGTAGGAGATAACATTGATCCTGATGAAGACAGTGCAGTCTGTATCAGGTGTGAAAGATTTGGTTTCCATCCTCAGTGTCTAGGCCGAGTATGAGGTAGATAGTTTTTGTATTCAGCTTTTACATGGTACTAGTATGCAGGGAGAAGTAGATGTAAAGAAAAGATTTATACATGTAAAAATGTGTTATATCTATGCTGTCTTTTTTGTCTGTAACAATATAACAGATAGAGAAAATGATATTCATATTTTTATTAGTTCCTGGATTTCACTTAATTTAATTTTTGACTACCTATTATTACTACACAAAAGGCTCAGTCTGCTCATTACATGGTAAAAGCCATTAGTCCAGAGACGAGAGGGTGGTAGAGAAAGGACTTTATTACAATGAGCTAGCTGATCTGAAGACTGCAGACTATCATCCCAAAGGGAAGTCTTCCCAGGAGTCTGATTTATGATGGTTTATATGAGATAGATGATTCAGATTGCTATGCACCTTCTCACAGGAAGAGTCAACATCGATTAGAAGTGTATCACTGTGGCCAGAGGATACACTTGGAATCATAATTGCCTAGCCATATCTACATGTAGTTTCTGACATCTTACACCAGGCCAGTCCAGAAGGAAACCCAACATGAAAACTTTTGGCTGATCACTAATCTCACGCTAATGAAACATAGGTCACCTGGTTATTGACAAAGACAGAGACAATGCGGAGTTAAATAGAAAGTTGATCATGAGATCTGGTCTCAGTGCTTGGCTACAGTATCATTTCAGATGCTGTCCTAATGCCTAGCAAGTGTACAGTGTGAATAAGGCTGTTTTTATACTCCTTTCTATTGATTCTCATTTCCAAAGCTGGTCACGCACACTGTGTTACTTCAGTTTTAACACATTCTTTTATGAGCTTAAAGAAATCATTGTTATGCCCCTGCTTCCTGACCTGAAAACTGAGTTTGAGACAGATTGAATAATTTTTTCAAGATTATGGCTATCAAGTCAGTGCAGTATGGGATACTTAAGGTCAATAGTATTCAACACAGTAAACTTCAGGGGCTGGGGATTTAGCTCAGCAGCAAAGTGCCTGCCTGGCAAGCGCAAGGTCGTGAGTTCAGTTCCCGGTACCGGAGAAAAACAAAAAAAAAAAAACAACAACCAATCACAGTAAACTTCTATTATGTTATATCATTTTAACAACATAGAAGGGCTAGAAAGCCAGGCTAGATTGGCATAGCTTGTACAGGTTAACACAATACTTAGGAAGCTAGTGGCATGGGTGCTGATATGTTGTAGTTGGACATCCACGACAGATGAGGTGGGGTTATTTAGTAATGAAGACCCCAGGCTTTGGAATCAGATAGGTACAATTTGTCACTACTTTTGAGGAATGGAGCTTGGATAAGTTATTTGTAGGCTTATAACCTTGAGATTCTTACCTTGATAATAGTGGTAGGGGTTTAATAATAATGTCATGGTAAATGTCATCCTGTATAATCTACAGAATTTTGGTATATATGCTGCTGAAGTGAGCACATATACACTATACAACATAGGCCAGTATTTGACATACACTTACTACTCAAAGAAATGATAAGAAAAGCATAAATTATGTTTACTGATACTGTCACTAATATGATATTCTATGGACTCAATTTTATACCAGGTCATTTGTTGCATAGCAAGGTCATAATTGTGAAAGATATTTTCAGTAATTGTGGGTGCATAATTGTGTGTTTATCATATTAGGAGAAAAGAACAAACTGAAGCTTGGATCTTTGTTGGTAAATTAATTGAAAATGAAAACTATTGCTAAATTAGAGATCCTCCCTACAAATGAGAAAACTGGCTTTATTTGAATAAGTACTAAACAGTATCATCTCAGGTAACATTAACTGTATTGCAAAGACAGGATAAATGACATACTAATAATCAATTACAGGCATGTTTCATATATGTCATATATGCCAATCAATTATATACATCTTTCTATCCAAAAACTTTTATATCTTTGTAACAAACAAGAAGGTATGATATTGAGCAAGGGCTCTCTGTCTGACACACAGAAAAACAAACAGTAGCACAAACTTCTGGTGAAAGACATTTCTTGTAGGGTTGACCAGCAAGGAGGACAGGAGCAGGAATTTCAGCTCTGCCTCTGTAATCAGCTGGGGGGATTTATAGGAAGGGGAAGGGGAGAAGCTTTTGTTGATTTGAAGGCAAGAAGAAGGAGTGGTAGGGTTCTTTGGAACTGAGCTGGTTTAGAGGAGTTCCTTATTTCTTTATGAGTAATACATTCCTCTTCCAGAGTGGAGTTATGTTCACTGTGGGAGATTTTTAAGCTTGTAATGTCAAATGATTGACTTGAAAAGCTGGTTATTTTTGTGCGTGTGTATTCTTGAAAAGGCTGTTCCAAACCATTCTTCAGTGGATTCTGGAGGCTTTTCCTAAAAGATAACTTGAAGGCTTTGCTATTAAGGAATTTATGTCTGCATCTGTTCAGATGTTACCTGATTTCAGGTACAGTTTAAAGTCAGGCATGTAGGCTAAACTTCTAAAGGGAAAGAGATGTACATCATTATATTTCTTGATGTTCACTTTTCAAAAAGTTAAACAGGTCAAAGGATCCAAAGAAAGACAGACCTAGAATCAAAAAGTGACTAGTGTCTTTTTCAGATTTGCGCCAACATCAGAGAGACAGAGCAAGGATAAAAGGGAGGGGTGGGAGCAGAGCACAGTCACACATGCCTACAATCCCAGCACACTGGGCATCTGAAGCAGGAACTGTTGACGTCTATAAGCAAGCCCTTTTAACATCTTGGAGGCTCTTAATCTCTGCAGCAAATAGCAGTCTACATATATCAATAGCAAACAAATGGAAATTTTACGGGCTGGGGCTGGGGCTGGGAGCAGTACAAAACACTTCTATTCATGTGCTGTTGCTTAGCTGAAGTGCATAGCTGTACCTAACATTAGGGAGTCTGGGAAATGTAATACCTATATGCCCATAAAGCATTAAGCAACAGATAAATGAGACACAATTCTCTGTACATACATCACTGTTATTTTCTTGAAATTTGAACAATTTATCAAAACAAATCCTGAACATCATAATGTAGCTTGTATGTTCCTTCTCATCTGACCTTTCCTTCACTGTTCTCTCCCTTTTTGCTGAATTGTCTTTTACCTTATTTTTGTCCTGCGGATTCCTATCATCACTGCAACTTTGTCAGTGATGAGTCCTGTGCTTGCAGGTTGTTTGAAGGTTCTTGACATTCCTCCTGACAAAGTAGGCTCAGCAAGCATCGCAAGGTAGAGATGACAGTGATGACGGGAAATAAACGGAAGAGAAAGACGGCAATAGAAAGAAAAATAATTGTCTAATTTCCCTTGAAAGGCTTATTTGCTTTCTCCTTTTCACTCTTATTTTTATGTTTCACAAAAAGTATTTTCTTCATGCATATCTGTACACAAATAGATCTGAACTCTCACCATCCCCAAGTGATGATCATAATTATGCTTTATGATCATGATAACTAGACATTGATATAAGAAGCAAAGTAATAAAAATATGAGATGAATAGTGCAGTATAATAAACAAAATACATTTGATCTTTGTGCCTTGTATCTGCTTTTGAGCTTCAACATCCCTTGGAATTTCTTATGTAATGGGAGTGATTTTCATCATTCATACCATTCAATTAGATTTCTGCTCAGTGACTCAAGAAGTTCCCTTAGATAAGCTTTTCAAGAAGGGGGAGCTGCTCAGAAGTAAAAATACATCACATGATTAGAGAGTGGAAACTTTCACCCTCGCCCTGCATTTCCAGGGAAGGAAGTGGGGCTGATGATTGAGTTCAGTTGCTTTGCTGATGATTATTATCCCTATGTAATGAAGCCTCATTTAAAAACTCTACTTTAAAGACTGCCTGGTGTGGTGGCATGTGCCTGTAATCTCAGCATAGAGAGGTTGAAGGAGAAGGATCACCACAATTCTGACACCAGCCTGGGCTACACAGTAAGTTCACAGCCAGCCTGGACTTCATAGAAACGATCTGTCACAAACAGATGAACAAACAAATAAAGCTAGGCTAGAGAGTTTTCTGGCTGAACATATTGAAACTTCTGTTCTTGGGATGAGAGAGGGTAAGTGTCTAGACATCTTCTAGGCTCCTTTTCATTTGCTGTTTCTTCATATTTTTTTTTTAAATGGGCAATATAGTGCCTTCATGCAATCATGTGAGTTGTTTAGAAAACTATTAAAGGTGA